GCCCTCTGTCCTTCTCTCATCGAACCGAGCCGTCGAGGGGGAGGTCGTCAGAATTTAACTATTATTTTCAAGTGTCGGAAAAAGTAGTGCGTAAATGAATGCCCAATACGACCCCCCCTCGCGGTCAAATACGACCCCCCTCTTGTGATGATCACAACGATGACGTACCCTGCGTGAGGCGCAAAAAGAACAGTGGCAAAGGGCACCATGCACCAAGTGCGCGGTCGGGGATCAAAGATTGCACCGCACGCCTTCCGAGTCCGACCGAGCCTCTCCAGTCTTTCGTAACGGATTTATTACTTTTAAATAGTCAGGAAGGATGAACATGCTAAGCGGTGCATCGGCTGGTGCAAGCAACTCAGTGGTTAAAAAGGGCGAATGAAAAGACAATGGGCTAAAATCAAAATAGTAAGGCATTCTGGACTGTGTGACATTAGGTCTGGTGCTACACTTGGAAGCCAGAATGCAGTGGCCAGAGTGAAATCAGAACGCATGGCTATCCCAAAAGTTGTAGGCCGTGTCTCAATGGAAAGCAAAAATGATTTCCAGCTCACACCCCCCATGCATGGCTTATCCCATAAAGAGTGATCTCGAGAATGCCTTGGGCTTTCGAATGGTTCTTTCTACAGACTAGCGCTTTTTTTCTTGCTTCTCGCTACTAGCGTCATACTGGGGCCCTCTAGAAGTGGACCTAATGTCACACAGTCTAGAACAATGTCTAGCCCTTTTGATTTTAGCTCACTCTCTTTGCCCTCGACCTTTGCTGACAGCAGAAAATCAGCAATTATGAAAAAAACGGTAAACAAAGAAATGGCTACAGTCAACAGACGATAAGATCTGAAACGGAAGCCAGTAAAAGTCCAGCTATTTCCCCGAAAGACAACAGTTCGTGAGATAATGGCAAAGATGTGGAGTCGACGTAATGAACGATTACATCGACCGATGGCTACGATCGATAACGTAACCGCAAGATCAGCGACCACCAGGGCAGTCGAGGGTAGTCAGCCTTCAACTGGGCCGGCTGTGACCCTCTTGTTAATGTAGCAACCGGTTGTCGCGCACTCAACTCGATTCGCGTTAGTAACAGGGGGAAATGGAGGGCAATAAGTAGACCTTAGTAATCTGAAGAAACAAAGGAAGCATCGCCAAAGTAACAGAAGAGACATAAGGTCCGGTGTGAGGGAAATTTCGGGAACATTGAAATTCTAGGACAAAGAAGATTTAAAGAAATGTTAGGAGTGTCAAAAACGACTACAGAGGAAGAGAGACTGAGAACTTTAAAAAACCAAACAATCTCAAAAGAGCGCTTAGCTCTCCCAGGAAGCTGAGGGTGCCCAGGTGAGACCTCCCAGACGGAGGGCACCTTCCAGACGGTATGCACAGCTCTGAAGCACTGCACCATCGGGCGTCATACCACAACACAAAACACACGCAGTCTTGTCATCGAAAGGCAGTGGCTGGCATTTTCTAATCAGTTACAGGAACAAATCACAGCGCATTCTTTTCCTGAGTCCTTTGACCAGGAGGAGGCACCCATCCCCAAGCACGTCACATTATCCTTGTGGGTAGAACTTCAGAATGCGACCCTTTCCTGCCCCACGGATGTTGGTGGGAAGGACAGGCACACAGGCCATCGAGCCGAACTCACAAAACCCAGCCCCCTCGTGAGAAGTAAAATGCTGGCTACGCCCTTTCCATCCCCCCCCTCCCACTTCATTCAGCAATCCTCAACAATGAGTGCCCTGCGGTCGAGACCAACTCCTCTGGAACACTCTTCTATGGCACCCACACCTTCTATTTTCATTCCAAATCGGTTTTTGAGTACGGAGGCCAAATTGTGGTCTTATGTAGGCCATCAGCAGTGCTGAATGACCTTCCCCAAACAGAATGGGACAATGTCTTATCAAGGGCAGAGAAGACGTCTTCTATGATAACGCGATAATCGATCCCTACCGCTGACTCCTCCCACTTCAGCCAGTTGCCTCGGAGGGGACTGTTACTTACCACTAATTACTGCTGAGTCATCCTGTGAAGACCTGTAAACCCTCGTGAAGCTAGCTGTTCAATAGTATGAGCTTCGATTGTTTTTTCCGATCTCATGAGTGTCAGATAGTTCCCATATGCCCCTCTCTTCCCCATATGCTGATAGGCGCAGCAAGACTACTGTTTCTGATGGCTGATCTGAGACGCTCATTCCTTCATTCCTCCCCCTCCCCGCTTCACTGCCCTCACCCCTACTGGTTGTACCGGGAAGTTCCTAATAGAATTGGTAAGAATGGTATGTAGATAAAGAAAAGGGGCTTATGACGAACCAAGAGCCGAGGGAGGAGGGGGAGGGGTAGGCGTTGATGTGCCCTCTCCCCATAGCTATGAAAACATGGTAAGAAAGAAGCGTGCAGCAAGTGGGTCCCTTATCCCGCGCCCACTAGATCAGGTCCTGGACAGGAGCCAAGGTAACCTAACATTTCATTCCTCCGGACTGGAGCATACTCTTGTTCGCCGCAGAAGATGTGAGGGGTGGGCATGGGCTCAGCGCGACGCCACCCAGTTTCTTTCTTTCGGCACGGGACAAATTTGTATCATATCGTGGTACCACTCGTTTTCCGATCGTTGTCGCTTACGCGCTTTAACAACCAATGGGAAATGGGTTGGCGGCGCGCCAAATCCAGCCTCGTTGACACGCCCCTTCATACTGGGCGAAGGTTGTGAGTGGGTGCAACACATGTTTGGGAGGACAAGCACGCTGACATGTTCATCGTCTGATCCATGCAATCCATTTATGAGCAAAATCGCATTCAAAGTGCTGTTACGATCCTGGGTCGAGACAGAGTGCATGGCGCATCCCCAAAAAAATTACTGATGAATGCCGGGAACTTCAGTCTTCTAGGGACCTGGCACAATGCCAGCGGTATATCTAATTCAACGTAGCGCCTAAATTTCCTCGCGATAAGGCGCCCAATTGTGCTGATTAGAAGATGCACAAATAAGCCGGCTTCTGACCACAATCTCAAGCAAAAATTCTGCACAATACCCTTCACATACAAATGTTTATCTCTATTAAGCCTAGAACTTTACAAAGTAAAAAAAAATCGAATATTTTGAAGAGCAACTATCACTTTTGGACAAAGTAACAATGCGACCCAGTTTAGCATATACACATACCACTAACCGTATCTAGATTAGAGACGAGCTTAGTTGCACACATTGAATCTACTTCTTCTTCTTGGAGACAGTTCCCGTGATCAAGTGGTCCACAAAATGCCTCGGTGCATTTAGCATCGTTGTCCGCATTCGCAAAGAATAGAAACGCGTTATTACTGCAACCATTGTAACCTTGATCACTTCCACCCTGCAAGACAACAGAATTGCGCGTGGCGTCGCCTGGAGCGTCGTAGGGCGATTTCCTGTGCTTTTGCCGAGAATAGATTGCACGTCGAATCCTGCTGATTGGCCTTGCCGACGTCCGACAAACTCGTCCAATGGCACCCACTGCTGAGGGATCTCTGTTTAGAGTTCCCAAGGTTATTTTCCTCTTCCTTCTTCGCTGGGGAGTTAGTTATGGGTTACCGGTTCTTGTCTGAGCAGTTACTACCCGTAACACTTGATCGCGGAACTGTCTTCAAAGCGACAAAATCTTTAGTACAAAAAAGTGAAACCGGTTAGTTGACATATTGTAAGAAGACAAAACTCGAGCTTAAGCGATAACACCCGGGCGCTGAAAAAATTGACGTAGTGTGAATTGTGAAGCACTGCGAGCCGGAGCAGTTAAAGAACAGGGTCTCTGAGAAAACTTCTTGGCTACTGACACCCTCCCTCTCCAACTGTTCGACAGCACTATTTAGGGAGAAAACTGGAGGAATCTCGAGATAAATACTCAGATAAAAAAGGGGAGGGAGGTTGGGGAAATTTAGGAAGGGATGGTAGGAGTGGAATGGGAGGACAGAGAAGAAGAGGGGGATCGTATTAGAGGAGGAAATTTCGCTCCACACCCCTAAAAACAAAGTACAAGTTGTCGCCCGTCCCTCTCAGCCCAGTTTTTCTGGGTAAAAGAACTTGGAACCAACATCAGACATTAGAACTAAGAAAGAGTATACAAATCCAAGAAGAAGTAATGCACACGAATTAAAGGATTCAAGCTGATCCCTGGGATCCTAACCTATGAAACCGTATTTCAGTGACATGTAAGTTTAACTCCAAAACTCGCGCTATCTGACCAACACAGTAAGTAGTTCAAAGAAAATTAGAACTAGACAGAACTACAAACAACTACCCATGATTTAAGCATTCCAAAACAATCGGGGTTGAGTGCCGCAGCCACGCCCTATGCTTGGAGAGCCACGCCCACTCATGAGTGTCACTAACGTGTTTAGACTTGTAGAAGTTAGCCATGATGTCTCAAAGTGGTAAACAATACTCCAACAGCAACAATAGTTGTTAAGACAACAGCACCGAAATTGACGCAGATGACGATTTCAAAAGAGACGAACACTGACTCCAACAGAATTAATGTTTGGTCTGACTGCTACTTCATTCATTGCGGCGAGATCGTAGTTTCTCAGCTCTTCTGGAGTGAAAAACTTCTCTTTCACCTAAAGAAAATATAGTTAGAAGAAGAGGGTACAGGGCGCCAGGAAGTTAAAGGCAGTTCGGCAATCGGGAGAGGGGGGGGGTGGCATTTTGCACCTTTGCTGCTTTTCATCGACGTTTGGGTGAGACTTTTGTGAGACTTATAGACCGGAATTAGTGAAACAACGAAAGTGCAAAATGCCCCCCCCCCTGTCGCCTAACTACACCGAATTCCGATAGGGTTCTTACATTGATCCATTTGCGAACGGTTCTTCGTGTTGGGATCGACGAACTTCCATCCTGGTATTCGAACACACATGCTGAAGGAATCCAGTGATGAGAGAACTGGCTATACAATCAATGAAAGGGTTCTTATATCAAGGAAAGTTTTTCTTTTATCCAGACAAGTCTTTTGCTTGAATACAAACTGAGCTCCCTTGTCATGGCTCAAAAATGTTCGCGAACGGGCTTGGCGATCCCAGCCCGCGCCGTCCCACGATGCAGCACTTCCATCGATACCAAAATTCCGCGGCGGCAGGGAATAACCAGAAGTGAGAAGGCGCGGATCAGTAGCGCGTTTGGCTCTGGTTAGGCGTGCGGCTGGTGGCACAGCGGAGTACGCAGGCGGCACTTGAATATCACTACCCTACAGCCAAGTTCCCTTGTACTTTATGAGCGGAGAAAGTGGACATGCTATTGCAGCTGTGGGCCCATTCGCCTCGCACAGGCAAGGATGGTCCCTGGAGATGAGTGAACAGTTTGTCTTTGAAGGCTGTGGACGCGAATGCTGGGCGCGGGCGGTTGTTGCCAGCGTTATGGGGGAATAGCTGCGAAAGGGCATTTGGATGCACCCCAAACAGCCCTTCTACCAGTGACAGTGGCGACAATCGCCCGCCCTCCACGCAGGGCACGCCACCGCTGTGGCCATTTCCTGAAAATACAACCTCCCTTCTCAAATACGACCCCCCTGCCCATGCTACCTACCACTTTCCTAGATTTTCCCAACTTCCTACCACTTTTTCCATTTTTCCATGAAAAATTTCCAGTTTTTCAGCCAAGAATTTAAGGTCGAGCGCGGAGGGGGGGGGCATACCCATTGTGAAACAGGAAAATTTCTGATTCTCTCTAACCTCCTACCAGCCAAAATTTTGCTGTCGAGCGGGGCAGGGGAGGTTGTCAGGATTAACTATCATTTTCAACTATCGGAAATAGTAGTTGTATAGATCTTTGGCAGTCCCTCTCTCAACAACGGCCAAATACGACCTCCCCCCCCCCCCTTATAGCCATCCGTGAAACAAGAAAAATCAACTATCAAGAAGAATTTCCCTCAGACATAATATGACTCCCCCACTTCCTCGCGGTCAAATACGATCCCCTCCTCGCTGTGATAATCACAACGACGGCGTGCCCTCCTCCACGATCTTACCCACTGTCTCTAAACGTGAGATTTCGGTCCAAGTCATCGCCAAGGTTGGCTCCGGACGCTAAATCCTTATGATAACTGTCGGATGGCAAAAAGGAAGATTTTTACTAAAGTTTCCAGCGTTCATCCCACTTTTTTCCAAACTAAAGAAAACATGAAGCGATCAACGAACCTTGAGCTGACAAAACTGGCATCATTATCTGCTCGATACACATAATCCTTCCCAATTCATTCAAACAATTCGGGCTCTTACAATAAAGCTTAAATACTGTAATTTTGTAGAAAGATTACAAGTTTAGGAGTACAGGGTACACTTACTCCTGTACTCCTAAATTTACAACTACAAAAATGTACACTTAAAGATTATTGAGCTGATGCCATGACTACGAGAAGGTACACCCTAATGGTAACCGTTGGCAAAGCCTTCCCCACCACCAAGGCCTAGGCCTGCTACCACACAGACCGGGATCTCACTTCCCAACTATAACGCTGACAATGTTCAACCGGGGTGTCGTCGGACCGCTGCAAAGGTTAAAAAAGTCTATTCTGAGCGCTATATTGGCATTTACAGCGGTCCAACGCTAGAAATTTGACGATTTGGGCGCAGTTCGGAGACGAGGTGTGGGGCACTTGCACTTTCGCTGCTTCACTAGTTCCTGTTTACAAGATCACTCTGTTGAAACCTGTAACCCCTGTGAAGCTGAAGCAATGTCGTCGATCCACCATAGTACAATCTCTAACTCTTGTGTGCTCATGTCGAAACAGTGGAAAATGCCCCCCCCCCCCTTAGTCGCCGAACTGTTCCTACGATATGGTTTGTCCAAGGGGATGCGGATGTAAGACCGTATATTGCCATCGGTCACCTCTCCGGTTTCGACTTTGATTTACCCAAACCGTAAACCCCCAGGTAGTGACGAATGCTGAAAACCATCTTCTGGCAAGCTGACGAGAAACTAGAGGTATTTGGCAGAAAACTCTTCGAAACGATACCTTTGCAATAGCGAACTTTTCCTCACGCGAGTTGTTCAACCGGCCTTGAACCACTTCATGACGAGTTTTCGCCCAGAACGATGGATCACAGACGCAGTATTGCGAACCCTTGTACGTTTTGATGTCCTTTGAAGTGCACAGGAATGCGTCACACTTACTACAAATGAGCTTATCTGAGTAATATTTTATTGAAAACACGCTGCACGCTCACGTGCGAGATAGATTCGGTGAACAAATCCGCAGGTGTGAAATTGTGTCTTCTTCGGGTCCGAAAAAGCCTGGCAGTGAAGCTGGAGGATAGGGATGTACTCTAGTTCGCTGCGGACGGTTGGGCGTGTCAGGCGGGATGAGTTTGGCGCGTGCCAAACCACCAGTTGTTAAAGCGAGCAAATGATATGACTGTATCATATCGTTCGTATTACTCGTTTTCTACCACTTTTTGTCGCATGCGCGCTTCAACAAGAAGGCAGAGAACGGCTTTGACGGGGTGACACACTCATACTGCCTGACACGCCCAACCGTCCGCAGCGAACTAGAGTGTAGTTGAACGTTCCTTTATTACGCCGCACATACACCACCCCATAAGCACGCAACACAGCCAAAAGGGGACCTCAGCTATCCCTCCCTTCCCGCTTCATTCTCACGCATTTCTCGGCGGCAAAAGTGGCTCGCTTCCACTATTACGGACCAATTCCCCTTGCAAAGAGTTGCAATGAAAGGATCATCTCGCAGACGAGCGTACAGTGCGTCATCGAGCTACGATCAAAACTAACCTGCACAGCAACCTGTACACTTTTCCAGATGCTTTCTGCTGAGCTATTCGCTGTGAAACAATTGCGTCCTCGCGTTGAATCTCGCGTTGTAACTCAACAATGCCCTCTTGCACCTGACAATAAGTACGTCAACGCTTACAAATTGATGGTTCCAGACTCATCCACGATATCAGGGCTGTTTCAACTGTCTGCATACTCCAGCCACAAAACTAGAGTGTAGACCGATGAAATGCAGGGAGCAACTAGACTTCGAAGATTACAACTAAAGAGGGATACCGGTACAACTATGAGAGTGGAAAGAACCAGGCTTGTAAAAAGCTGGGAACTCCAAGATCATAATAGTCTCTGAAGCTATTTCGGTAAAGAAGGACAGACAAGAGCAAGAAAATGGCACGCATCAAAGGTACGTCCCGCGTTCCAAAATGGCGAGAGGTGCGACTTAAAGACACTTCTCGCGATCAAGTGATCAGCGAAACGTCCCCGTGCATTTGACATCCAGGGCACATCGTTGTTGGGGAATCCCCAATAGGGGGGGTCGTATTTGGTCGCCAGGAGGGGGTCGTATTTGGGCTGAGAAAAATTTATTTTGATAGTTGATTTTTCTCGCTTCATGGACGTTGTAAAGGGAGGGGGTCGTATTTGATCATTTTTGGGAGGGGGAGGGGTCGTATTTACGTTTTGGCGTTGTGGGAGTGGCGGTTGACTTTTGGTGATTTTCCTGTTTCACGTACTATATGCCCCCCGCTCGACAGCAAAATTTTTGGTAAAAAGTAGGGAAGTTTTCGGGAAATTTTGGAAAAAAGGGGCAGGAAGTTGGGGAAAATCTGATTGTAGAGGGGGGGGGGGTCGTATTGTCTCGCGGCTTTTCCTGTTTCACATGTGCTATTTACCCCCTCCCCCTCCCGCTCGATTTGTCGAGAGGAAGGACAGAAGGCTGGGGGGGGGGGGGGGGGGGGGAGTCGTACCAACTCCCAAAAAAAGGGGGGGGGGGTCGTATAGAGTCGACTAAAATCCCAACCAATGATGTGCCCTGTTAACATCTTTGTTCGTACTCCCAGAGAACATACCATTTCGTCACTCGAAATGGCGAGATAACGAAGCTAGAGACGCGTGAGTTTTGCAACCGGTGCAACCGCGTACTGTACTCTGCAAGACAACGGCTTACAAGCGGAATGCGTGCATACATAGCGTTGCCTGGAGCGTCGTAGGGCGATTTTCTATGCTCTTGCCGTGAATTTGTTGCACCTAGAATCCTGCTGATTAGGCTTGTCCTCATGATGAACTCGTCTAAGGCGCCGGCCCCACTGCTAGGGGGGTCTGTGCTCAGGGTGTTCCCAAACTTTTTCGCTTCGCCTTTGAGTTTGCTTTTTGATGGGCTACTGTTTTATGACTGAGCACGCTACCTATTACACCTTATCGCGGGAATTGTCTTTAAATGACAAGGTGATGAAAGATACAATTAAAAAAGCAAGGGGAAAAACGTCCAAAGTCTCCTATACGGTTGAACCCCTGCCGATCCGAGCTTATCCGCGTATGAAGCAAAGAAAGAGCTTGGTTGGACGAGATATCACAAGGTGGTACAGTCGTTGCGGACTATGCTGCGTGGCCGGCAGGTCTGACGAGCCAAACCCGTTTTCCACCAGCTGTTGACCAAGCTGCGAAAGATGGAAAATGACTGATACGAACGACATGACACAGTCTTGCCGCTTGCTCGCTTCAACAACTGGTGGAAAACGAGTTCGGCGCCGCGCCAAATCCATCCCGCCTGACATCACCTTTAGACGCAGCGAACACGACTTTATCACACTTTCCTCTCATCACTTCTCTCACCGTTCGAAATGATGACCTAGCAGCGGCATAAACTCAGCATCAGGGAGCCTTTAGAAAGGAAAGTCGGGTGGCGCATTGGGCAGTGGGCGTGGCGTCGCTCTAGTGGTGACAGAGTCGGACTTTCCTCAAGCACTTTCATGCTATGAAAGTGGTACACCCTCTGTGCCAGCGAACAGGACTAGCATGTTGAAGAAGGCGTCTGAACTTCGAGTTAACGTGGAGCGTGCCTTTGAAGGACGGCTGTACGTTTTCCGATGATGTTGTTTGAACAGCAGGGGCGATGGCTTTTGGATCAGGGCACGTCGTTGTTGGGGAATCCCCAACAGGGGGTCGTATTTGGCCGCCAGGAGAGGGGGGGGTCGTATTTGGGCTGAGAAAAATTTATTTTGATAGTTGATTTTT